AAAAAAAAAAAAAAAAAAAAGTCTTAGGTGTTTTAAAAATCAGTCTTTAAATTAAAATAACATATTCACTTTAAAACATGAGCTGGGCTAAAGGTTCAAATGATACTACATTAATTCTCCAGAGATCTCATATTTAGTGTCTTACAAGTATCCGGAGATCACAGCTAAAAATACATAGGTCATCAAAGGCTATTCTGAGCATTCACAGTAATTTCTTGAAGTCTATGCATTAGTCAAAGAACCTACACATACAAAACTGCTTTTGTTCCCACTCAGAGCAAATTACTTGTTAGGAACAATTTTAATAATTTAAAATTATGGATATAAATTATATCCTCTAATTAAGGTAGCTTGGAAAAGTACCAAGGTTTACAAAAATTAATTAGACATGTATAAAAATTTGGTCCTTTAGGAGATAGTTATCTAGAAAATTCATTTATAAGGTAACTCCCAGTGATATGATATAAAGGAAGAGTCACTTAACAAAACAGTAACAGCATAAAAATAATGGCATATTTAATATCACAAATATCAATTAATTATGGTACAAATCCTTAATACAACAACAACAAAAAAGGAACAAAATTAGATTTTCTTGAAGTTAAACATTATGTAGGTAGAGTGAAGCCAAGGAGCATGATGTAAGGGAAAGGGCAAAACCTCTCCATTCCTTCTATCATGCACTCAATTATGCATGGAGACAAGGTAAAAACTGTGCCTGATATATGCAAATGTCTGCATCTCCTCTAGACACTCCCCTCTATTGCTAATACATCACATACACTCTATGAATGTTTTATAAATCCAGTTAATATTCACCTTTCGATTGGATTCCAATATGTAGGAGCTCTCTTCTTTAACTCGTTCCATTTCTTCTTGCAAGGTAATAATTCTGTTGTTTGCGACTGCAAGCTGTTGGTGAAATTTTATTTATTTTTGTATTAATAGCATAAAATAATTTATGATCTGCTAGGCAACAATTTTTAGGCTTGAATAGTCTTAGAAATAAAGAAACTATTTATAACCCAATGAAAAATGTTCTTAAAAGGAACTCAGGAGAAATATCTTTAATGTAGGTTAAAAAAAAAATCTCCTGGGCTGGGGTTGCGGCTCAGTGGTACAGTGCTTTCCTAGCATGTGCTTGCCTAGGCACTGGGTTTGATTCTCAGCACTGCATATAAATAAATGAATAAAATAAAGGTCCACTAACAACTAAAAATATATTTTAAAATCTCCTATTGCTGATTTTTAAAAAGTTTTCATATATTTATTTATTTATATGGTGCTAAGAATTGAACCTAGTGCCTCGATTGCTATGCCATACTGCCTCAATACAGCAGCAAAAGAACCTCAGTAGAAATGTTTGTGCTGGATTGCTTAAAACCTTGTGGGATAGATTTTAAGGGTCATATCCATAAATTAAAGTTTCATATATATATACTCTTCATTCAAAATTAAAGCCCACAGAGCTGAGAAACAGGCATTTAAAATTAAAATGTTTGTTCTGAAGAAATAGTATATTCCTGATCAGTGCATCAATTTGATTTTGTTTAACCAAATTTATCTCACTGAATACAACAGGTCCATTATAATTAGAAACAGAGAAGACAAGCTCTTTGCAATAATTTGGATAATTTTACTTGAGGATTTTCATAGAACCATCTAATGCTGCTGGGTGCAGTGGCATACACCTGTAATCCCAGCAGCTTGGGAGGCTGACACAGAAGGATTGCAAGTTCAAAGCCAGCCTTGGCAAGTTAGTGAGACGCTGTCTAAAAATAAAAAATAAAAAGGGCTGGCAATGTGGCTCAATTTTAGAGTGCTTGCTTGGAACACATAAGCCCTGGGTTCAATTCCCAGCAAAACACACACACATACAAACATACACGCACACACACACATCTAATGCTATTAAAGAAAAAAAATTGTAGCTTAGTCTTTGGCAAATTAGGGAAAATAGCTTCATTAATCAGAAGGAACATATGAGGTTATTTTTTTCTTCAGGAACTTATTCTAAGACCTTTCACATATCTATTATTATCTGATCTTCTAAGTAATGGTGAGGTTATAAGGGGGAGTATAAACACTCCATTTGCCAGTGAGGGAATTGGGCCTCTTAGAGGTCAACTGACTCAGGAGCACATGACATATAAATAGCTTAACAAGTAAGCAGAAATTATTGGTCTTTTGACCAGTGATCTTTATTTTATCTTACTGTCCCAAGAAGAATATAAGAATAAAGAGAGTAAGAAGCTTGCCTGTCTGAAACATATAAATCAATGCCTAACACATATAAATCTTTGTGTAATTATAGCACCTAGTGCCTAAAATGTTATTTGAATGAATAAATGATGAATATCATGCTATATGCTAAATATTTACTCTAGGACAGCTCAGACAAAACATTTGCATAAAAGATACTTAGAAAACATGCCTATGCAGTCTAACTGGGTTAAATGAGAATCCCAGGATAAGCCAACTAACCAATCAGGTAAAAAAGGAGTTATATACTATAGTAGATATATTTGAAAAGTCAAATCCTTCATTTCTAAGGTTACATAGAAATTACTGATTTCATTAATATACATTATTAAATTTTATAGGTCAAAGAATTTCCAAAACACTTACCTCCTCTGTGAGTTTAGTGTTTGATTTTTCTAATGCATCTACTTTTGCCTGAAGGTTGTTTACAGTAGCACTACCAAGAGAAAAACAATGGTCTCTTTTGAAAACAATACCCTGAACTTTCCTTTTGAAACACCCATACTTATCATTCATTCATTGTCTAATGTCTATAATTTTTGATAGACTATTAGGCTCTAAGACAGCTTACAAAAGGCTGTATCTGCCTTAGCTGCTGTATCTTTGGCATTAGAGTTCGTATTAAGTATTTGTTCAATAAAAAAAGAGCTAATGAGCTACATGTAAATTTCAGGGTTTACCTATATAAAGCACAGATAGGCTATATGAATTAAATGCTTTATATGTACCAAGGACTGTTCTAAATTATTTCACTTGCATAATTTTATTCTTTCAACAGCTCTATGTGTTAGGTGTCTCCAATTAAAGATAAAGAAACTAAGGCATGGAAATTAGAATAAATAATTTAATGTAAGAGTCATTTTATATTTTATTATCAGCTGTAACTGTATCTTTGCTTGGGTGATATCTCCATAGTTCATTATAGTCATGATTATTTCTTGGTCCCCAAAGAAAATACATTGCTCTTGAATTTGTTAGCTGGAATGAAGACTACTCAAAATTTATACTGATACTAGTATAAATATAATCACATTGTAAGTCAAATTAAAAATGGCTTTCATAACAGAATTTATAAAAGTTCTACAAACTACAAAAATTATAATTTTTGTATGCACTAATTATTCTTTGGAATTATTAAGCAGTCTTTACAATAACAAGAATATCAACATATTTCAGAATATCAATAGTTTTTAGATTACTGTCCTCAGGACAGAGGAAAATTTCATTTCTGAAGAATTCTGAAACTCCTTGGTGAATGCTTGATAAATTAATGGCAGTAATGGTGAAGAGAGGGTTAATTAATATCTCAATTCAAATGTATTATTGAGAAACACAAGGGACCCAGAGATATATAGGAACTAAATTACTGAATTTAGTTTAATATTAAAATATGTGGCTTTATCACTGCACCAAGTGGGCTGCCAATTTCAAATATCTGTGCCACACATTTTAAAATTCTTAACTGAATGTATTTATTTACTTAATCACTAAATTACTGTTTTATAGTTTCTTATATTGCTTTTCACTAAGGGTCACCAAAACAGTTAAATCTCATTTATCTAATGTCTAACTCAGTGCCTGACAATCAGGAATTCTATATTTATATATTTGTTGAACATTGTCTGAATTTATCCTCCTTGCTTATCATTTTATACTTCCTTTCTCTCCCAACAAAATCCCAGTAAAGTAATATTATTTATTCATTCTTTACTTCAGATGTCTGTTGAGTTCTTCTACATAGTTCTTCTGGTCCAGAATTGCAGTTATCTGACCATCCCTGGAAGAAAAAGAGAAGTAATAAAAATAAAATAAATAATGATAGAAACACCACCCATCTCATCTTTTCATAAAACATGAGAAGAAAATTGGGGCACATATAGTGAACAAAATAAACATGATGCATAATAACCCTCTCCACATATCAACAAGAAGAACTTGGAAGTTTAAAAATAAAAGTCTATATTAATAAAGCCCCTGCTATAGCTTATAAATCTTTTTTTTTTTAAATATTTTTTTCGTTGTCAATGGACCTTTGTTTTATTTATTTATATGTGGTCCTGAGAAATGAACTCATGGCCTCACCATGCTAGGCAAGCATTCTACCACAGAGCCACAACCCTAGCCCGCTTATAAATCTTAATAACTTAGGTTATAGGCCATAAACTTCTCTATCAGTGGCATTTAAGTTTAAAAAGTTTTTTTCTTGCAAGTTAATTTTTTTCAGCTTCACTAGTATTATTCATAGTAAAAATTTTCTATTCCCCATAGGAAATGAATTAAACTCACTTATAGTATAATGTAGCTGTTCCCAAAGGCTATATATTTACCTTTAAGTGCTATTTTTATTCAAAGCAAGTGGTAAAAAAGGCTTGTAAAGGTTAAGTGCTTATTATTACAAGGGAAATAAAGTGTGGAAAAATGAGGTTCATTTAGAACCAACTAACCTATAAAAGGCACAAGTTCAAATGATATACTTTTTCTTTCTCTCTTTTGGCAGTGCAGGGGACCGAACTCAGGGCTTCCTGTGTGCTACGCATGTGCACTACGGTAACTGCTCTAACACTGAGACACATCCCCAGCTCCTACAGATAACATAAGCTTAAACTCAAAGTCAAAGATTAAAAATATCAGACTACTTATGCTTTCAATTGCTAAATACATAAAGGATATAAGGTATACTTCTGATCTCTAATCAGCAAGAACTGCAGTATTTAAATTTTTCTATTTGAAATAATATTTGCTTAATAAGAAAGTTGTAAAGTTGTATAGAGTTGCCATATACTTTTCACTCAATTCCCTCGATGTTAATATTTTATATAACCCCATGCTGCATATTTCATATTGCAAATTTTAAGCAACTGACATTGTAATTCCTTTGATCAAAAGATCATGTTTTCAAATATTACTTTAAGAGATGAAGAATTAGATAATTTCATAATTTTAATTTTGTTTGCCTGAACCACACAACAAAAAATTATTTAAACTAAATGGATTTAGTAGGAGGCACAAATAGTCAGATATTTTTAAAGCTATATCATCAGAAATTCTTTTGGCAAGTCAGTTAAATCTGTATTGTTATAAACTTTAAATATGACCAAAGGGGGGAAAAATACTACAAAGGAAAAAAGAAATCTAATTTTCTTTGCACATACCCTTCACTACCTTTACTGCTGTTCCCATCCTTGAGATACATTGAAAAATCTATAACTCCAACCTACAGAGAGAATTTTCAGAATTTAATACAAATTTTGATTCTTTTTCCAAGGCATAAAACAATGTCTTTTTATAAGAGTAAAACAAAAAACAAACAACAACAAAATGTCTCTTTCTAGGCACTCAATATAATAAAATAGTCCTGATAATCACCAGAAATTTTTAATACAAATACAATGTTTTGCTTTTTTTCCCCTTTCAGCATGGGGTATTGAACCCAGGACACTCTACCAATGATACTTCCCAGCCCTTAATGTTTTACTTTTAATATAATCAAGAATTGCTGTGAGTTAGAAGTATAGGATCAAGATTATATCAATAGGACTAGGAAACCAGATCATTAACTGAGACAGTCAACAGAATACTTAATGTATATAAGGTTTAAAGTTTCTTTCTCTTTTACTTATTTCAGGCATTCTGCTACTGAATTTCTATTTGCTTTTAGGGATAAGTTTTTAAAAGTTAAATTATAAAAATAATGCACATTTCCCTGTGGTGTCTATTCTTTCAAAGCTTCATTGATACACATATCTTCATTTTTCAAGATTTGCTATTTAATTATTCAGCTTATTCAGAATATTTTAGTATAAATTTTTTTTAAATCAAGATTGAGTCATATTTTGTCTTATATTTTCTCAGAGTAAAACCTAAGAGAAATTAATCATAATATTTCACACAGAAGAGGTAAGAAATAATAATAGTGAAAAAGCAGTTACTGGGCAATTAATATGTGCTAAGACTAAATCTAAGTGAATTATGTGTACTAATTTCTTTATTCCCCACAAAACCCCATTAATTACTCTCTCTCTCTCTCTCTCTTTTTTTTTGTATTGGGGATTGAACCCTGGGTAGTGTCTTAGGGTCTCCCTAAATTGCTGAGCCTGGCCTTGTACTTGTGATTCTCCTGCTTCAACCTCCTGAGTCACTGGGATTATAGGCTAACATGCCTAGCTTATTTATACTCTTAAAAAAAAAAAAATCCCTACATTATATCAAGGAATCTGAGGCACCAAGAAACTAAGTACCTACATAATTTATTTAGCTAGAAAATGAGGAAGACAATTTAAAACTAAGCAGTTTGGCTTTAGAGTCTTTAATCTTAAAGACCATGCTATACTGGGTTGCTTTTTTTTGGATGGTACTGGGGATTGAACCTAGGTGCACTCTACCACTGAGCTACATCCCCAGCTCTTTTTAATTCTTTATTTTGTGACAGGGTCTCACTAAATTGCCCAGGCTGGCTTTGAACTTGGGATTCTCCTGCCTCAGCCTCCTAACTTGCTGGAATCACAGGTGTGTGCCACTTTACTGGCTTTTAAATATATTTAACAGCAATTACAGCCAAGATAATAAATTTGAAAAATATTCTAGAAGACAAAAATCTAATTTTTCATACATCAAAACTAAAGGAAATCCCATTTATGATTCTCCTCTTAGTTGATATAATCTAATTAACCCAATTCCTGAGATAACAGAACCCAAAGTGACACACTTGGTTAAATGAGTATTATTTCCATACCTGAGAGTCCAAATCTTCTCCTTTCATACAAAAATTTGCATCAATGACATTCAGACCCACCAATAGACCAGCAATTATAGCTCCTTCCTCTTCCATCATGAGGGCATTTGGTTCATAGAATTCACTGTAAGAGAAATACAGAATATTCTACTATAATAAAACCTCAAAAATCCAATGATATAATCATGAAGGAAAGAGAAAAATGCTTGCCTCACGGTTAATATGGTCATCTATGATAATAGTGACAAAGTTTTAAAAGAAGAAAGTGTTTCATAAATATTTTATTTTAGATAGCAGGTGCACGAATAGACTCTTCAGATAACAAGTGATCTGGTTGAAAAAAAGATGATCAGATGGCATTTTTATTGAAGTGAGTATTTAGATTTTTCTGATATATTTATATTTGTGATGCATCACTGGATACTTCTGAAATCTTTTATGCATTTTAAATTTTTATTTGGTTTTATTTTTATTTTATTATTTATTTATTTGAGAGAGAGAGGGAGAGAGAAGAGAGAAAGAGAGAGAGAGAATTTTAATATTTATTTTTTAGTTTTTGGCAGACACAACATCTTTGTTTGTACGTGGTGCTGAGGATCGAACCCGGGCCGCACGCATGCCAGGTGAGCATGCTACCACTTGAGCCACATCCTCAGCCCTGGTTTGATTTTTAAAAGTTAATACCTTCTTAAAATTTTTTAATTTTTAATTCTATTTAAAAATAACATTCCTTCAATGCAGTAAGTAAGCATCTTACAAATGTGAACAGATGAATTATATATATTAATTTTTGCTTAATTAGCAAAAATGAGCAAACATGCATAATAGGTTGAAAATGATTTAAAAACACCTGTTCAAGTCTTTTGCCTATTTTTAAAAAAATAATTTATTAGTTGTTGATGGATATTTATTTATTTATTTATTTATTTATTTATTTATTTATTTATTTATTTATATGTAGTGCTGAGAATTGAGCTCAGTGCCTCATACATGATAGGCAAGCATTCTACCACTGAGCCACAACCCCAGCCCATCTTTTGCCTATTTTTATACTGCTTATATGTGTTTTCTTACTAGATTGGTAGAGTTTTAAAATACACCTTGAATATGAAACTTTTGTTGAATATATGTATTATGTATTAGAATCATCTTTCACTCTGTGAAAGATGGGCTCTTTCTTAATATTAAAGAGTATCTTGATGAATCTAAGTTCTTCATTTTAATGTAGCCCAAATTATCCATTTTTCTCCCTTTACAAGTAGCAAAATTTTGCATCTTAAGAAAATTTTGCCTTCTTTTTCTTTTAAAAGTTTTATTGTTTTGTCTTTCCTACTTACATCTATGATCCATCTGGAATTTTGGGGCTGTTTTTAAATTTAATGATACATGTCAACTTCTTATCTTACTGAGCCTGGGCACACACTAAGGTGTCAAAGTCTTCTCTGTTTTCTGGAGGTATTAAGATTTGGAATGCCCTGCAAAAAACCATGTATGTCAGAGTGATAGAACACACATAGTATAAAACATCCACTTGGAAATACAAGTATGTGAAGTGTGATAGTAAATATTAGTGAAATTGTTATGAGTCAAGTATTTCTTATAAAATGAAAAATTTGTATGATTCAGTTTTATGACAGAACACATCAAGGGAAAAAGAAAGTTCAAAAAGGTGTTCATACCTGAGAAGTTCCTTCTTATTGATCAAGGCTTTCATATATTCTGAAAGTTTCTTTTGCATTAATGCCAAACGAAGCCAGGCTCTTCCTCTGCCTACTGGTGTCCTATAAGAACAGAGACAAAATGACAAAATGACTAAAAATGTAAGCAACAGAGGCAGGGGTCACTGTGGAACAGATTCACTTCATTTTCCAATGGTCTCCCAGTATAATGAGCACATTGAGGTGTTCCTCATATCCTGTCTCAATACAGTCCTATACTGGGAATTCTGTGCAGAATAGTAAGATCCAGGGGTGTGTTTAGGATAAATGCTCTTACAAAGAATTAATAACTGAATGAGGGCACTGGGATTGTAGCTTAGTATAGAGTGCTTGCTTAACATGTACAAAGCTGAGTTTAATCCCCAGTACTACCACCATCACCAAACAAACAAACAAATAGAGAGATAAATAAATAAACAATTACTTAATGTGACTACTTCCCAGACTTACTTCTGGGAAGCCCAACTAGAAATGTCCCATCAGATTAGTATTGATAAATACTCCCAGATTTAGTATGGGGTATATAAGGACCAAACACGAATGTGAATTCAGGCAATTTAAACTTCTATCTGATTAAGATTAAACCAATCTCATATGGGAGGGTGATCACTACTCTTTTTCAAGTTCTAAGACACGCTGTAGGTGTCAATTCCCGAGGTTCACTTGATATCCGATTTAATATTGACTTTAGAACCCCATCAAATACATTATTTCCCTAAGTCAACTCCCTAGATTGAATTTCTTGAGACTCACTGATTCTCACAAGTGGTTTTTTTTTTTTTTTAAAAGATGTTAGGCTGTGAGTATAGCTCAGTGGTAGAGTGCTTGCCTACCAGGTGTGAAACCCTAATTTCAGTCCCCAGTATTGGGGTGGGGGGTGGAGGAGAACTTTGGTATTTTAACATGAAGCCAACCTCTTCTAGATGAATGATTATCCTTCAAGAGCACACTTTAAGAAAATTTTACATTCCAGTTCTCTTACTCATAACATTATGCATTTTGTAATGTTGTAAAAATGATCATAGGTATTATTATCTTTAGTATTATTCTTCAAGAAATAAGAATGTTGTTCTTGAGAAACAGAGTTCAACTTTAGACTTACTTAAGTCCTGGAAGATCTTTAACACTTGCTGTTATCTCTGCAGCTTCTGGAACAAGTTTTTCTACCAGTTCTAGAGGACCCCAGAAGGATTTATTTTGCCCAAGAAACGTCTTCTTGGCTAAGGTGACAAAAACAATGCAGTATTTTAAATGTTCTTTAAAACATAAATAGTCCCTCACTATACACCCCACTACATACCTCCTATCTATTAGATGTCTTTTTCAGGAATCCAATCCTAGGCTATTAGACAATTATAAAATTATTCATGCTTTGAGAATACATAAAATTTTGTGAAAATATTCTCTATTTCCTAAAATACACAGTCATTCTTTCAGAAAGAATTTGTGACCTAGCCTCATAATACCAAAATTTAATAATTACTAAACCATGTGGTATTAGTAAAAAAAAAAAAAATAGTAGTCCAATGGTAAAGACTGTTTCCCAAACTGAATATTGAGAAGGGAGAAAGTGAAAGTGAACAAGTCTAGGTTCTGCTTCAAAAACCTGTAGTTAAATAGAAAGAGTAGTGAAACAAAAGTCAGGAAACCTGAATTTTAGCACCTGCTCTGTCCCTGTGTGACCTTGGGCAAGTCATGACCCATTATAGGCAGGCCTATATTGCCTGCCAATTGGATAGAACTGCTGTATTAGATTTAATTACTTATAATGGCGGTTCCAATTCTTACCATTTAAAAATCTGTATTTTTTAAGCCCTATAAGTCTTTTAAGACAACCATAGCTCTGCTCCCATACAAGTTGCACTCCAGTGGATTAATTTTATTAATTCAAGTCTTATGCTTTAGCTCCTCAAAGAATACTTTCTTTTTGACTATGTAGTGCTAGGAAACAGCTGCATACACATTTACATTTTGAGGCCACAACCCACCTTTTAAGCCATGTTTCAGACAGTGTTCCATCACCACGAAGAACTGCTGCAGGGGTGCATAATCAGAGTCTAGAGTCCTCCCCAGGTTCAGAGCTGATTCAATCAAACCCTTGATACTCAGCTTGGCCATGTTCATCAGGTTCATACGTTCATTAGCCATGAGATAATTTGGATCTGCAGCCAAAGGGGGGAGAATGAAGTTTGGTTACTGGGAATTGTAAAATCCAGTGGGATTTCACCATGGTGATATTTGCACTGATGGTATATAAGCAATGGTAAGTAATACTGGTGGTGACTTGTGATAAAGCAAGGAAGTGGCACCATACTATAAAACTTATATGTTCTTCTTGGCCACGTACTTGCTGTGAAAAAAATAAGATGTTTACTGCCCTTTAGAGCATCTTTGATGAAGCAGTAAAATTTACTTTTTTTTTTAGCCTTAAGTACAGTCTTTTTATATTTTTACCACCACCCCATCTGGGCACCCATCATAGCTCACTACTGTGCTGCCTTCACACTGGTCTCTCTGCTTCCACTCTAGTTTGCCCCTCTCTCTACAGTTTCTTAAGTGTTCTAAAAATAAAGCCAATGTAGGAAAAAACAATAAAGTACTTAAACTGCATTATTAGTATTTATACTAATCATCATTTTTTATTTAAATGAAGTATCAACATTATTAGTATAATATGGTAATAGAACTTCTGAATTTTTAAGACTTAGAATATAGTGTGTGGTTCTCAGAACCAAAGGTAATCTATCTGAGGAAAGTGACTAAGTACCACATTTTATCTGACAGAACTCAGAACAGTCTAGGCACTTACCACCCTCATTTATTGGTGCTTAACCTGTGCAAGGCACTGTACAGGGAGAGTAAAGCTTAACTTAAGCTTACAAAGAGAGTAAAGCCTCAACTGCTCTTTCTTGACTCAATATACGATCTTGCACAAGTCACATCACATTCCATGTCTACTGAATAGCTGTAGCTGGTCCATGAGCACACAGAGTCATCAGTGATCAAGCCAGAGTCCAAATCCCATGTGTCCAACTCCAAACCATGTGCTCTTAAGCACTATGATCTACCTTTAAATAAAATTATGACTCCAAATAATGTTTATCCTTTCCTCCTCATGATCATTCTTTTACATGATTACCTTATTTACTTATTACTTTGCTATTACCACTTAAGTATTCTCCCTTTTTTCAGATACTGAAGCAGGCACAGAAGAGTATAGTGGTTCAAAGTCAACAGTTCACAAATGGCAGTATTTGAACTTAGATTTGACATGAAAGCAAATGTTCTTTCCATTATGCTACATGTATCTCAAAACATCAAATTTCTATTAAAAACTACAAAAGGCTGGGCATGTTGGCCCATACCTCTAATCCCAGCGACTCAGGAGGCTGAGGCAGGAGGATTGTGAATTCAAAGCCAGTGTCAGCAATTTAGCAAGGCCCTAAGCAATTTAGCGAGATCTTGTCTCAAAAATGCCTGGGGATATGGCTCAGGGGTTGAGTGCCTCTGGGTTCAATCCCTGACTCCCTAAAACAAAACAAAACAACCCCAAACAGACAAAATAACAATTACAAAATCCCTCCCCCCACACAACATCTAAAAAAGGCCCAGAGGTCTATGAAACACTCCATTTTTTCTTAGGAAAACTAAAGTACTAATTAAATCATGTGCTTTCATAACACAGATAATGCAGTTAATATAAAACTATTTTACGAAAATTATCCCAAATAATTTTGTTCACACAATGTTTTCATTTATATCTGCTTTCACAGTTAAATGAGTAGAGTCAAATGGCCAAATTCTAATCTAATTTTCTCCGTTAAGTTTAAGGGCATCCACATTTATAGTTCCAACTATACAAATCTTGGTATGTTTAGTATTTTCTCAGGTAATATACATATTTTTTAAATATACTTTAGTTGTCAATGGACCTTTATTTTATATCTTTATATGCGGTGCTGAGGATCGAACCCAGTGCCTCACACATGCTAGGCAAGCGCTCTACCACTGAGCCACAACCCCACCCCTTCAGGTAATATTTTTAGAGAAATACTTTATATGAAAGTAAAAATTTATCCACATTCCAATTAATTATTTCTCACATATAAACAAATGTTTTAGGACTACGGTTCAAATGCAGCTCTCTTGGGTCATGGTAGATCAACTTGTCAAGGATACAGGAAGGAACTGGTGGTGTAGCTTGGCAGTAGAGTGTCTGCTTAGCACGCACAAGACTGTGAGCTTGAGCCTCAGCACAAAAACATACAAGGTAGAATAAGCTCATAGTGAAATATACACAAAACTATTTTCTGAAAGATAGCCATGAAGAATAACTTTGTCAAATATTAATTTCTACTTATTACCAGCACGTTTGTGTATTACTATGTTTCAGACTTTCTCTAATCACTGGGTGTATGGGCATGAATGTGGAGAACAACTGACTCCCCACTTAACCCCTCGCAATAGGTGGCAGGGAAACTGCTGTTGGACTGGGATAACTGGCTGCCTATAAGGCTACACTTGCTGTGCTTCAAGCCTGTAGACCTTTAATTCACAAACTAATTAACAAAATTTAACAATGCCACTAGTGGCAGTTTACAACCCTGCTTCTAGTCCTCATGAGAATTAGTCCCATGGGGAGAGCCAGATTTGAAGTTAATATCATGCTGAGAGGTTTTTGCAGAAGTACTCACACCAACCCATCTACACTGTCTCATTTTGTTTCTCTTGTAATCAGTAGCAAAAATGTTGAACATGTGGTTTGGGATTGGGTTGAACAGGCTATAGAAAGATTAGTGCCACCATTCTTTATTAAACTCTACCTTCAACCTTGGTATGACTGACATTTTGATGTAGGAAATTATTTTTGATGGGGGGCATGTTTTTTTACTTCAAATCTAGCTTTCCCCATGGGACTAATTCTCACTAGATTAGAAGCAGGCTGTAAACTGTGACAAGCAGTAAGTCACAGTAAGTTTCACAGTAGTTCAGGCCTCTACCCACTAGATGTCAGTAGAATCCTTCAGTTATGACAACCAAATCTGTCTTCAAATATTACCAAATGCCCCCTGGGAGACAAAAAAAAAATGGAGGCCCCTCCTCCTGCTGAGAACTGCCAGTTTAAACAAACAAAAGTCAAACAAGAACCAGGTAATATGACTACTAGACATAAGAGCTTAAAAGAATGTACTTCTCATAGTTAATTAACATAGAAGTTACAATAAGTATTATTTAATGCTTATTAACATTTTTGTGTTAGACAGTAAATAATAATGTGATCAGTAATAAATAATTTTTAATTATGTCTCCTAGTTAGTAAATTACTAAAAGTAACTACTAAACTTTTTCTGTTTTATTACTTGTCTTAAAATGTATTTGAGTATAAAATAACTCTGCAGAACTCATCTATGCTATAAAAAGGGCTGCAATGACTTGAAAGCACAGAGGGAAAGCAGAGGTAAAGTTTTGTTGTGAATTTGGATGTTGGTTATGCAAAAGTTTATTGAGTTTGTGAAAGCTTACATACGTGGTCTTCTTATGTATTTTGTGCTTTACAAAAAGTTAAAAAAAGATTTTGTCACATGGTATAGGACAGAATGATTTTTTTAAGAAACGCATAATTTTTTGGTTGGGTTGTAGTTCAGTCACAGAACACTAGCCAAGCATGTGTAAGGCCCAGGGTTTGATCCTCAGCTGCACAAAAAAAGAAAAAAAAAAAGTATAATTTTTCACAGTGTTATTAGTCCTATTTTTTCTATAAGAATAATAACAAAAATTTAAAAATTTCACAGTGCTTACATTTAACACTGTTATTCCAATGCTGAACTTTCTTTTAATTACTTTTTAATTAATAGTGAACATCTATTGTGCTTAGACATGGCTTAATGCTAGGAATATAGAGGTTAACAGGCCTAGTGTCCTGCCTTCAAAGTGCTTACTTTTCTCTTTTTCAAACTTGGCTAATAAAAATTTCTGGAGAACAGGAGGGGGCAGTGTATAGTGAACACTAGACATTTCAGGATAAACATTATCATCTTTAACGGTGATCAGTTTTATTCCAGGAAAAATAATTTTACATGTCTTTATATTAAATAAAATATGCCTATTTATAGAATTGAATGTAAGTTTTCCATATTTTTAAGGCAAATATAGTAGAAAATGACATCATTTTAGGGTTCAGGCAGGCTGCAAGTATAATATCATTTTCTCTACATTTGAGTGTACTTCCAACTTTGAGAAGCACTGCAAAATCACTACAAATAGAAATCCTATACATAGGATGCTATGGGAATATATACAGATGAAGAACATCTGACCTGATTCTCTATTTTCCCTTCAAATTTAAGGGGCAGATATGTTTCCATACATTTTTAGAGGTTCACACTTTTAAGTTCATATTAAAGGACAAAAATAAATTAGGTTAGGAAGGGATAGGAGTAGAGATGTTGAGGGAACAGGATAGAAGGAACAGACTGGGTAAATAGAAATATGAAAGAACATGGCATACTCAGAAAAAATGCCAGGAGTTACGATTCACATTAAGTGTTGAGGATGACACAAGACGGAGACAGGATTGATTGCTAAGGACATTATTTAAGGAGTATGTTTTTTACCTTAAACTCAGTGAAGATTTTAACGTAAGGTGTGATGTCACAAAATTTGAAATTTTGAGACGTCATTTTAGCATTCTTGTTGAAGATGAATTGAAAAGGAGCCTGAACTCTAAAGTTGGGGAGTAAGAAAGGGACTACTACAATAGTTAAGCAGAGTAATAAAAGATGAAACTACAATAGAGGATGCTGTATAGAGAAGAGGGATATAGCTTTGAGAGGCATTCTGGGGTAAAATGTCATGATTTCAAGACTCAATGACCATTTGCACATGTAGGAAAAGGCAGAACTTGAAGAATGGGAAATAATCTCTACATTTCAAGTTTTGGTGATTAGATGGATGCTGGTACAAATCACATTGGTAGGGAATACAGTTAGAATAATAAGCTAAAATGAGCTAGGAGCAATGGCGCATGTCTGTAATCCCAGTGGTTTAGGAGGCTGAGACAAGAGGATTGTAAATTCAAGCCTGCATCAGCAACTCAGCAAGACTCTGTTTCAAAATAAAAAATAAAAAGGGATGGGGATGTGGCTCAGTGGTTAAGCACCCC